TGACGAGGGGCCAGCGGGGAAGGGCGAGGGGCGGGCTCCGGCCCCCAGGGCTTGCTCCAGGGACGCGCGGGTGGGGTCTGGCACCTCCCTAAACCCCCCGCGCGCCAAACCCCGGGTGGACACTGGGCCTGCGCGCCCCCGGCCTGCCGCCTAGGGACGGAAATCCCGCCCTTCTCCCCCGCTCCCCACGGTGCAATCTGCAGAAATCAATACCAGGGCGCAGGGCCCAGCCAGGTGCCTTAGGTTTCCAAATTTGAGGCCCGGGCCATGTGCCTACTCCGAACGTCCCGGAATTGGGGTCTTGGGACTCCCCCTTCCCCGCCTCACCGGGGGAAGCCCTGCGAGCCTCCATGTGAGCAGCGTTTGGGGGGCACCATTTCATCCACGTGGTGAAATCCTGCGCACTGAGTCCTCAACAAGCAGTTTTATAGTTAATTTGTTACAGGTATCAGGTGGTGCGGATGACATTTCTTTGAGCCTTTAATTGTCTTTGGCAGTCATGACTTCAGGTTGTCTTGAGAAACTATAGTGCATGGAATAATTGCTTATTCCATTATTGAATAATCGTGGCATCAGTTTTTCAAAAAAAATCTGGATGCTCGGACAGGAAACAGGAGGGAGGAGGCAGGACCTCTATTTGAAAGTTAGTGCCGCACTTGCAAAAAGCAAACATATCCTTCATTTGGGATGTGCTACACTCTATGGGTTTTACCGTTCCACAATAGAGCCCTCTCCCCAAAAGTTTAAAGGTCAAGAAAAAAAGACCACATGCCTTGCCAATTGGAATTATCAATCTTTTTCTTGCGAAGTAATTAAATAGCAGATCACGTAATCTACCGAACAAATGTGGAATGTTGTAACTTTTCTGTAATTAATGAAACTATTGGGTCAAGGCGAGACAGGGGGAAAAGTTAATCGATTAATAAAACTATTGGGTCAAGGTGGGGGTGGATTTTCCTTGAGAGAATTGCTGTTTAATTCCTTTAATTGAAAATAGTGTTTAAAACAGACATATATATATATATTTATATATATTTATATATATATGTATATATACATATAAAATACATATAAATATATATATATATTTAAAGAAAGGCCTGGTTCGTGATCACCGTAAGACTGTACAGCATGTGGAATAGAGTGTACCAACTTAAAGCATTTTTGTTTGTGTGGCCAATTTCACAGGTGGCATGAAGCCCATCAACTTGTCCTTCTCAGCCTGTGGGTTTCTGGCAGTTTACCACTTGGGGGCAGCATCGGCCCTCTGCAGACATGGCAGAAAGCTCCTGAAGGATGTGAAGGCCTTTGCTGGGGCTTCTGCGGGATCCTTGGTGGCTTCCGTTCTGCTAACAGCACCAGAAAAAATAGAGGTAATTAAGTAGTAACTGGGCTGTGTTGCTCGGCAAGAAATTAAGACTGAACAACAAAGATGAATGTTAACACTACTCAGTTAATTGCAGAGAAATAATCCTTTGCCTGGGAAACATAAAAGGTTACAACTTTTCTTTTAAAATTTAATCAATAGAGATCTGTGCTCTGGATTTAGGAAAGAAGATTATTTTGGCTGACAATGAGACAGGAAATAATAATGATTTATTTTACTCTTGAATGTTTATTTAGTCTTAAGGTTCCAGCTGTGTTTCAAGCAAAGGCTGCTTCTTCCTTATCTGATCATGAGCACAGGTCCATCGTGTTCACAGACAGGCGTAGACGTTAAAATGTGGGCCTGTAACTTCTATTAAGTGGAACGATATTACAATTTCATTTGTTTTTCATTCTCACGGTACAGAAAGCCTTGAATCCCAAGAAATTTATCCAGAAGTAATAAAAATATGCCTTCGTTAAGTATTTCATATAATGCAATCCCTGTTTTATAAATCTCTGCTCTGTTTCTCCACCGTGATGATGCATTCGCTGACTTGGAGAGCCGGTTTCTGTAGGTGGAGAATCTTGTATCAGTTCATTATTTACGTCCTCAAGTGGCTCTGAGTAATAATCAAATACCGATTAACACATTCATGCCCAAGAATGAATTTAAGTCGCATTTAACCCATTTCCCGTTTAGAAGAAAAAGTGCAGCTCACTGCCAGCGTTCATGTAATTTTATGTAAACGTGCTCTTTGAGGCTGAAGCAAATCTGACTGGTTTTCAGTGTGAAATGTCAAAACTGTTACTGGAGTTATTTCTAAACAGAACTTGTCTCTAATCCTAATGTAACAGAAAGGTATAGGTAAATCGGATCCATCAGATGAATCTCGCTAACAACTGTTGGAGAACGATCTTAACATCACGTGTGGGAATGCTGCGTTTTCTAGGATTTGGCATTTTCAGCCACTGGGAGTTGCTATATTTCGTACATGCAGACACCACTACTGTAAATAGAACGGTGTCATTTGCTTCCGGAGACCATGGTTACACCAGATCGATGTGAGAATGATAATAAAATCGAGGTGATTTTTGGCAGACTTTGGGGGTGAGGGCAGGACTGTGATCGGGTTAAAGCCGCATCCTCAAGTGCCGCGGGCGAGTATTCTCGGGGCAAAGGGGAGATGGGTTAAAATTCTCGGGTAAATGGGTTCAAATTTTAAAACTACCACATTTCAGTTTATTTTTTAACAGTATTCACAATGCCATACGTTACATCTCCACGGCTTTTTTATTTTATAACTGGAAGTTACCTTTTTTTTTTAACAGTCGGGCATATATATATTTCCACCGTGTGTTCACCTCCCATAGTTAGATTTTTTTGTCACCACGTATTTGACTCCCTTTAACCCACCTACCTCTCCCTCCCCCTGCCCCCTCCCCTCTGATAACCACGAATCCATTGTCCGTGTCCATGAGTCTCACTTGTCCTGTTCATTTGTTGCTTTTACGTTTACATCCCGCGTATAAGTAATATCATGTGATTTTCAACTTTTTCTGTCGGGCTTATTTCACTCGGCATGATTATCTCGAGGCCCATCCACGTTGTCGGAAAAAAACTACCACATTTTAAACATCGAAAATCTTATTTTCAAATCTACGCTGTGTTGCTCATAGAAGAGAAACTGAATGTAAGGCTAGTCACTCACAAAGCCACTTTTCTTTCAGTCTTTATGCGGTTGCTGAATAGGGAACCAAAATAGTGATTAAAAGCTGTGGAGATTACGCACGTGGAGAACCGTGGGTCAGGGAAAGTAGGGATCGGGTATGGAAACGCCCCCCAAAACAGCAGGATCACAGGGTACAGGTGCAGGCTAGCTCCTTTCCAGAGCTTTCCGTTCGCGAAGCCGTCTTTCCTTCAGCTTTGGCGCTGGCAGCCTTGCTTTCAAATCCTCAGCAGATTTAGAACCGTGCTGGGTGTGATTTAGATTTGAGGTGCTGTGCAAAGACCGCACTGTAACAGCCACCACCCCGGAATCCTGTGATTCTCACACGTTGGCTGGTTTACCTGAACTTGAGACTCAAATCACCATATTTTCAAATCGGATCACCTGTTCTTATTTTTTTTCAATCAATTGGAGACCCCGGTGCATTGCCTAGTTGTGAGACCTTACAGAAAACGACTGTTTATTCACCTAGGGCACCCTCCTTCCTCCTTTTTTCAAAACAAGCGTGGGGCCATTTGACTTAGTTATTTTCTTTCTTTTTGTTTTAGCGTTTGAAGCATAGCACTTGGCGGATGCTGTTGAGTTTGTTGAGCAAAGTATTTCTACCCATTCCGATCCGTTAGCTCTGTTCTCGCTGACGCTGTGAGATCCTTGAGCCTTGCGGTGCTGTGACAAATATGAGTAATTAATCCAGTTCTGAGCTTAGGCTTATATAATTAAGAGGAGCACCTGACGCCAGTGTATTTTGGGAGGCAGGCAAATTTAGACGTTGCTGTGTGGAGAGCTGACTGTGGGAGCCTTTCCTCAGCCCCCCCGCCCCCCAAGTTCCCAAGCAGGGTGTCAGACAGCACGGGATGTGCGGGTCTGTCCATTGCTTAGGAAATGTCCCGTCTGGCCAGGGTGTGTTGTTTGTGACTAAAATTAATACAGGAAAATAAGCTAGGCGGGCAGTGTGGCTGAGAACTCACGTTGGGGGGCCGCGCCCCTTTCTCCGCCAGAAGCCCAGAGCCCCTTCCGCGGAGGCGGGCCCGCAGCCCCCCCGCCTCCCGGCACTTACTGCTTTCACCCAGACACACAGCTGCTGCTCACCCCGACCCTCCGCTCCCGCACCGGGCTCCCTGTGGACTCAGCCACCGGCGTCCGGGTCCGAGCTGCCTCCCGGGGCCGGTCCCCCTGCTGGTTTCGCCGGTCGTCGCCTTCCACCTGCTCGCTGTCCAAATCTTAGTCCTGTTTTCGGTCCCAGCCTAGGCGACTCGTGAAGCTGGATGTGGACGCCCACTCTGTCCGCTTCCTGTCACCGCTGCAACCAATGGCCACGAGCTGCTGCTGTGCCGGTCCTGGTGGGGTCAGTGTGTGAAGGGCTCGCGGGCTACACTCAGTGTCAGCAGGCCCATGTGCCCTCCGCAGGCCCTAGGGGACAGTCTGACTCCTTGCGCCTCCCACCTTCTGGGGGCCGCCTGCGTCCCTGGTGCGTGTCCCCTGCCCGCACCTTGCAAGCCATGAGCGTGGCCCCCCAAACCTTGAACCTTGACCCCCACCCCCTCTCACTTATTAGGATTTGAGTGATGACATCGGGCCCACCTGGGGCATCCAGGGCCCCCTCCCATCTCCAAAACTAACTTCATCCCACCTGCACAGTCCCCTTTGCCATGCGAAGTCACATGTTCACAGGTTCTGGGGACCTGGGGGAGGGGGCAGCTTGATCGTGCCTTCCTCACGGGTGCTCTGCCACCGCTGTGACCTGCTCGCGGGGACAGGGCCAAGTCTCTCGAGGGCAGCGGCTTCGTGTCTCGTTCCCACTCCGTCCCTGTGCCCAGCCCAGGGCGTGGCGCTCAGCACGGTGCCGAGTGAATTAATAAATGAAACATGGGCCTGGGTGCAAATCCTGCCTCTGACCCTCATTTTTGATGACGTATGAGGAAAGATACTTCCTCCCTCCGGGCCCGTTCCCTTACCTGGCAGGTGGGTGATTATACCCACCTTGCACGATTACACGAAGGTGAACTGCCAGCGGCCACTTCAGTGGCACCAGCCCTGTCGGCCATTAGACCCCGGCAGGACATGGTTATGGAATGACAGGGCCCAGGACTGACTCCGGAGACCGCTTCGATGCTTACAAAACGACAGTCATTAGGACTCCTTCCCGTGGCGCTGAGAATCAGTACTGTCCCCACGGCCACAGAGCCGGGGTGGGAGAGCAGGGTCGCTGTGCCTGAGAAGTGTGTGGGAGACCGCACTGGATTAGTTAGGACGGAGCCCGTGCGGCTTTGCCCCGTGCGGGCATTGCCATCGGAGGCGACAGAGAAGAGGAAGAAAAGGCTGGGTGGGGAGAACACAGCTCGCCTGGCGGCTGGGAGTGCTGGGTGGGGGGCAGGCCGGGTGGGGACCGGGCTCCGGTGACGGGGGCACAGCCTCCAGAGACGGCGCCGGCTCTACCGCACCAAGCGCGTTGTGCGGTCCGCCCAGGCTTCTTCAATCAGAACGCGGTTTCTGGAAACACGGAGAGTCACCCGTTCATTCTCTCTCTCAGGAATGCAAGGAGTTTGTCTACGCGTTTGCCGAAGAGACCCGAGGCCAGGTTTTCGGGGCGGCCACGCCCGGCTATGACAGCATGGCCCGACTCAGGTGTGTGTGCACCGCACCGGTGTGGAGTACGTGTCCCCCCAGAGCGTGTGAGGGCAGCGTGTTGCGGTCACCGTGTAAACCGGAAGCCCAGCCCGGCCCCCCTGAAGCAGTGACGAGGTGTTCAGTACCTACGGGTGAATGACGCAGGCTGCTTTCTGTCCTTCAGAAGCGGAATGGAGTCCCTGCTGCCTCCCGACGCTCACGAGCTGGCCCACAGCCGCCTGCACGTGTCCGTCAGCGACACCAAGACCAGGGAGAACGCCTTGGTCTCCAGCTTCCCGTGCAGGGAGGACCTCATCCAGGTAACTGCCGCGCCTCCTGTCGGGGTTCGGCCGGTGTCGATGCAGGTGCTCCTCACGAGCAGTGAGTGTCACCACATTGTCCACGGCCCGCGCTGCCCGCCGTGCCTGCGACGCTGCGTGCGGTGAGCTGTGTGTGTGACGGATGGAGCAGCCCGTCCAGGCAGGCAGCTCCAGGGGCTGCGCGGGCTGCCGCTGCGTTTGCCTCGTGATGTCGCCACGCCCGCCTCCATCCTGGGCAGCCGGTCGCCTGCCTGGAACCTGGGTCTCAACCTTTCAATCTAATGTTCCCTTTTGTTTCTTCCGTTTTGAGGCCTTTTTATCCAAATATATTTCAGAGTCGGTTGGTTGAGAATTCAGCATCTCTGGGAAATAACCTGGGCAGCTGATTTGCAGATGATGATTTGGTTGCTGAAGTAATACACGTGACGTTTGTCAGTTAGAAGGCGTGCACTTTTCTTAGAAAAGCTGGGTAATTTTCCCTTTTTCCTTTTGTGGGAATCATAGCAAGCGTCGGGTGGAACGGACACTGTGTCCAGGTACCGGGGAAGGTGATGGCTTGCGAGCGATGGGTCGAAGGTCCGCCCGCATTACGTGACGAACACGTGGATTCTCACTCCCGAGTCTTACTGTTCGCATCCCGCTACTTGAATGATATAATTTGAAACACCTCCTGAAATGTTGAACTGACAAGGAAAATTACTCTTGTGACTCGAGAGATTAGAATGTTTGTACTCGCTGTGCCGATGACGCCGTCTCTCGTTAATGCATTAATAGTCGTTCTAAGAAAAAGACTTTTTTTTTTTCTGTTATCTTATTATAACGTTATGTAGACTTACAAAATCTGAAAGCAGAGGCTGGTCCATCGTGCTGCAGTGCCACGAACTTCGAATGCCGCGGCAGCGTGTTGGAACAGCGCTTCTGGTCTGTGTGGGAACAGGACTGTGTGTCGTCATGTGGTAAACCGAGAGGGGACCTCTTCCCACAGCGTCCCCTCCTCGGCGACCCTCCCCTGGGCGGCCCCGGCAGCGGTGGCGGGCCCGGTCCCTGCAGCCGTCCGATTTCGTCACCACGCGTCCGCACACGGTGCACTGCGCCGATTCATGTATTCGGTGTTTCTCACCTGCCCTCTTCCACTAGAAAGTTCGCTCCAAGGGGGCAGAGTCGCTGTGTCTGTCCACTGCGTCGTCCCCACACCGGGCACAGTGCCAGCCCCGTCCGTTTGTGTGTCATAAACAAAGAAACGCATGAGCTAAGGTGGCATCAATTGCAATGGCGCGATTTAAAACAAAAGAGAAGAAAGAATCTGGATCGTACACGCTCAGGGATGTGGACGAAATAATTCACTTGGTAGTGGCCCCACCGGGACTGCCGGCCAGAAGTCTAAGCTGCTGGCTGGCACGTCAGGCAGGCGGGCAGCCTCGAGGTCCCTTCCTGTCCGTTGCTGTTACTGGGAATGTGGCTGGCCAGATCACGGCCCCCAAGAGGGCCACACCTAAATCCCTAGAACCTGTGACTGGCTCACCTTATGGGGTAAAGGGATTTTGTCGTTGAGATTAAGGTGAGGGCCTTCAGATGGGGCCATGATCCTGTCGTCTGGGTGAAGCCGCGCCAGGCACGTGGCTCCTTAGAAACGGAGATCGTTCTCGGATTCCACGCCGTTGCTTGTCTGAGATGCGGGGGCGCTCGTGGGAGGGGGCGCACAGAGACTGCGGGGAGCCACAGGCCCGGCCGCTAGCAGCCACCGTTGGGGTTGGACTGGACTCGGTCTCACAGCCCGACGGAACGGAACTCTGCCCGTACCTGGACGAGCAGGGACACAGGTTCTGGCTGGCAAGGCCGGCCTGCCAGCACCTTGACCTTGCCCTGGGAGGCGCGTGCCGGGCCCCGGCCCCCACACTGCAGGGCTGTGGGTTCGTGTTGCCGTCGGCCTGCTCGTCTGTGCTCACTCATTACAGCAGCAGTGGCAAACCACCGCGCTGAGTGAACACGATTTCTCCTGGTCGCCTGTGAATAACTATTCACAGAGCCTGTGCTCACTCATTACAGCAGCAGTGGCAAACCACTGCGGTGAGTGAAAACGATTTCTGCTGGTCGCCTTCGTCTTGGATAATAACTATTCACAGAGTTGGTGTAATTACTCGAGTTCGTGGAACAGAAGAGAAACGGTTGACGAGTGTGCGCTACCTTGTGAGGAGGATAACTGAACATTGGCGGTCACCGTAGATGACACAAGGAGAATTTGGAAGGATTAGCAGAGCCATCTAACCTTCCCCGGAGCTGGGAGGAGGAGCGCACTGTCTCTGGAGAGCAGGTGGCGGCTGGGAAACGTCCTGAACCTCCACCCGGAATACTCAGGAGGCGCTTGGGTCAGGAGAGGAAGGCCGAGGGAAGATGAGGCAAAGGCGGGGAGAAGCGGGCGGGGAGGGAAGGTCACCTCCCTCCGAAGCAGTGGTCCTGACTGAAGCACAAGCCAGCGGGACAATGTTATCTGAGCTGGAACCGCATGATGGAGGCTGCTCTGACTGTCCAGGTCGCTGGGGAGGGACAGAAGAAGCCACCCGTCCGCCCTCCACAGCCTCAGGTAGAGACCGGAGGCTTCTGAGCTTCCAAAGCCAAGAGTGACAGCAGCCCACAGGTGTGACTCGAGTTTGCAGGGACCTTGGCACACCTGGCTCTGTGCACATGGCCTGGGGTTTACCTTTTACCACCTGGAAAGTCTGTCGGGGACAGGGACAGGGCCAGACAGGTGGAGAGAGGTTGATTCAGAATCAAAGCAGAGGTGGGGAAGGTCAAGTGTGCAGGAACGTGGGCAAGTCCTAAGTCCGGGTGATCTTCACAACTTTGTTCTTTTTCTATGGGTTATTATTATTATTATTGTTAACTAACTTATTCATTTACTAAGTAGGGAGATTTTTTAAAAATGCTATGCTCTTCATTATCCACCAGCCGAGTGCACCTTTTATTACAGACAAGGTATCTAGGTGCCTGGAAATCCAGCTAGAAACCTGTGGCGTGCATGTGTTTGTGCGTGCGTATGTGTGTGCCTGTGTGCACGTGTGCGTATCTGTGTGCACGCATGCGCACGTGTGTGGACTCGAAGCCCCGCTCGTGTTGTCCTGCATCGTCGCTTTCTGTTCCTCTCCTGGCCCCGTGTCTAAGGCTGTCACGTCCCGACAGCGTCCCGTGTGGCTTCCTGTCTCGCGCCTCTGTTTCCCCAGCTGCATGGTGCAGATGAGCTCATCCGTGTGACTGGAGCGCACGCGGAGAAACGCACGTGCACGCGTGTTTCAAACAGGAAACGCCCATGTGCACGTTGAATACAGCCAACCCTTAGCAAACACCGAACGGATCGGAACGAGGCGCACACGCACCGGCGCCCAGCCCCATGCTAGAGACCGAAAGTTTGTGCCCCGATTCCCAACCCTTAGTGATGCTGTTAGGTATTGGGCCCCTTTGGGAGGTGACTAGCCGCGGGGTTCACTCAGAGCACAACCCGTCCACGTACTCAGGACAGTGCTGGCTGCCCGGCCAGCAGCCATGCAGGCAGTGACAAGGAGCTTTCGGAGGTGCCTGGCCCTGCGGACGTCACCTGCTCCCGTAACCAAGCAGCACATCTGGCTCCCACTTGGCTGGGCAGGCGGCGGCTCCCCACAAGATCACCCCTCTCTCAGCTCATGGGCAGAAGCATGGCCCATCTTCGGGGGCCTTTTCCTGCAGCTCTGATGGACCGCTGCTTAAGCATCCACATCCCGCAAGTCATAAATGGCATGTCACATGCCCTGCTCCTCCTGGTAATTTTTCTGGAATACCGCAGGTGTAGGTGCCTGGCCTGGAGCTCCTGCGTCACATTAGGTCACGAGGATGGAGCCTTCCTGAGTGGGATCAGAGACCCCAGTGAGCGTCCCCCACTCTGCCCTCCCCCACCAGGTGAGGACACTGTAAAAAGTTACTTCTCAGCAGACTCCGAATCTGCTCACCTTTTGACCTTAGACTTCCGAGCTTAGGGAACTGTGAGGGATGCATTTCTGTTGTTTATAGCCGTCCAGTTTATGGGGTTTTGTTACAGCGGCCCCAAAGGAGTAAGACAGGACATGGGTTTCTGAGGAGTAGGCGTGCTGTGTAAGAAATACCCGCAGATGTGGACGTGGCTTTGGAACTGGGTGAGGGGCAGAGGCGCCGAGACTTGAGGTGCCTGCTGGATGAAGTCTCTCTGCCGTAGGCGATTCTGGGGGGTGGGGCAGGGGCGGAAGGAAAAAGGAGCTGGGGACAGAGCTGCCGTGTTCATGCAGAGCTCCCGAGTGCCCCAGCCGCTGGCAGGACCATGGATGGTGCAGGCCACCCGCTGCGGCCGCACGTGAAGGCCAGGCGCACGCGGTTGCACAGTGCAGCCCATCTGTGGCCTGCAGCGGTCTCGGGACAGCCCCGAATCCTCTTGGACGCGTGCGCCCAGGAGGCTTCCACGCGCAGCGGCGTCCCTGTTGCGAAGAAGCCGTCTGTCGCCATTGCTACGACGCCCGGCATGTCCTCGCACGTGGGGAGAACGCTCCCGCAGCCGGGCCTTCTCACGTTTGGCCGCCCAAAGGTGAAATCAGGACGGAATTTAAGATCGGTCATTAGCGTGGGAAGAGAAATACCAGCAGATGGGGACGTGGCTTTGGACCTGGGTGAGGGGCAGAGGCGCCGAGACTTGAGGTGCCTGCTGGATGAAGTCTCTCTGCCGTAGGCGATTCTGGGGGGTGGGGCAGGGGCGGAAGGAAAAAGGAGCTGGGGACAGAGCTGCTGTGTTCATGCCGAGCTCCCGAGTGCCCCAGCCGCTGGCAGGACTGTGGGCGGTCAGGCTGCACGTGGAGGCCAGGCGCACGCGGTCCCACAGTGCAGGACAGGCTGACGTGTCATAAACTGGCAGGGCGCTTCGCTAGAGCGTGGCCTGTCCCAGCATCTGCGCAGGGCAGACCTGGAGAGCCACGAGACGGGGTGTTTATGCGACAGCTTCTGAGCAGAGTCGAAGGAGGGCCTGGTGTCCCTTCACTGCCGATGATGGCACAGTGTGAGTCGAGAGAAGTGACTTGAAGACGGAGTTGTTTGTCAAAAGCGAAACAGAACTTAAAGATTCGGAACAGTCTCAGCCTGTCCTTACGGGAAAGAAAGAGAGAGCCCGTGGAGGACCTTGTGTCCGAGACCGGGCAGGGTGACCCTGACGACAGTGTTCACAGGCCCAGGACCCTCCCCAGCCCCCAGGAGCCACACGCTCACCACGGGAACTTTGTGATTCCTCTATTTGTGGGCCCCTTCACAATTGCCCCCTCAAATGTCCCAGTGCGTACATTTTACACGTCAACTCATTTAAGTTCCAGATTTTGTTCCGGGATGTTGTTTTTTGTTTTCGTTTTTGTTGTTGTTTTCAGAAGGAAACATGCAATCAGGAGATCCACGCGCATTTGAACGTTAGCTTGCAGCCGAGCAGACTCGGGGAGGTAAATCCTTTGTTTAAAGGGAAGTCACACGGCACCTCCGCAGACGCGTGGAGAGCGTTTCGAATTCCACTAATCTGCAGACCAGCTCCGGTCCGCGCCCATGCAGATCACCGCATTCTTCGTGTCTGAGGCTGAAGCGCATCTGTGGCCTGCAGCGGTCTCGGGACAGCCCCGAATCCTCTTGGACGCGTGCGCCCAGGAGGCTTCCACGCGCAGCGGCGTCCCTGTTGCGAAGAAGCCGTCTGTCGCCATTGCTACGACGCCCGGCATGTCCTCGCACGTGGGGAAAACGCTCCCGCAGCCGGGCCTTCTCACGTTTGGCCGCCCAAAGGTGAAATCAGGACGGAATTTAAGATCGGTCATTAGCGTGGGAAGACTGCGGGAGGATAAATCTGAAGCTGCCTTTGAATTCCAACGGCAGCAGCAGGTTCTGAATAAACAGCCAGATTCTCATTAAAGTCACAGTAAACTGTAGGCATAAATGAAACTTGTTGAGAATTTATTCTCTCAGGAAGCCAGGCCACATGATTTTCTAAACATCCCTTTTCTAGAAAATGTGAAATGAAGAGAGGCAGTCAGAACGTGAATTGCATATGCTCTTGGCAATGTTTTATACAGTTGCTACAGGAAGTCAGTAACTTATTTTTATCATCGTATAGTAAAAATGAGACAAAAGTCAAATCAGTGCTTCAACACACGTATGATGCTTAAAAGTGCTGGACCCACCAAGTCAGGGGCCTGGGGCATAGGTCCTAGGGTTGGCATGACCGGTCTCCATCCCAGATGTCTCCAGACATCGCTGAATGTCCCCCGGGGGGCTTGGGTGCCCCCAGCTGAGAACCACGGCTCTAGACATTTTGTGATTTCTTGGGGAGAAAAATTTCCCCGGGAGAACAATGACATGAGACACAGTGACAGCACGTGTTTACGCAGGATATTTTATTAGGTAGCCTCCCAATGTCAGCCTTCATGTCCTTCCTTAGAAAACCCTAATCGATGGCAGTAAAAGGCCGGCAAGCTAAGTACGAATGAGCGAAGGCGCTTCTCGTGTCCAAAGTCAATGTTCTCATGAAACTTCGCTCGATGTCCAAACCAGCAGCCAGGCGTAGGGAGACGGAGGGTGGACAGAGCCAACACATCGATGGGGCGGCGACAGGTATTTTCCAGGTCAGCGCACTCTGTGCGTGATGTGGGAGGACGCTCACTGTTATTATCTGTAGGAAAGTCATTGGATGACGTTTTTCATCCAAACGCTGCACAGGAGCCGCAAGCATTAACTCGCGAACTTGCCACGATACTTTGACAGAAAAAACTCACGTGATTCTGGTTCTAAGTGTAGGGACTTTTTTTTTTTTTTCAGGGCATGTATGTCTGTGCCGCGGAGTGAAATACATCATTATGTTTACAGAGTGTCTTTGGCTCTTCGAAGGCCTCTAAGTGCTGGCATTTCACAGTGTGCACTGTCACACACTGGTCCAGCCGTCGCCGTTGGTGACTTTTGCTGGACGGCTTCGTTAACCGGCCATGTCGTGCTTGCAGGACACACCCAGGGTGTGTGATCACGTTTTTTTTTAAGGTGGAGCCCAGTGATGATCGGGCCAGATTTGGCGAAGGCTGATGCGGTGACCATGCCCATAAACAGCCTGCGTCTGAAAAACTGGTGACGTCGTCGTCGAAGGCTGGCGAATCCTGTGAAAGGTTGTCTGTCGTCACACCTGCCTTGGGGCTCTGCGGCCCGTGTCTCATGCTTCCTAATACCTGCATCTTCATTTCGTGCCGGGTTCTGGCACCTTCCCCAAGCCTGGCACCAGGGAGACGGGGAGCACTTGTCATCAGGGGTGTCCGCTTGTACCTCAGGGAAGGGCACACACCAGCAGGTGTCCATGGGTGTCCACAGCCCGAGAAGGACAGACTGACGCTGCAGGAACACGCAGACCTGTTCCCCGGGGCAGTGAGGGGCCAGGTCACGTGTCTGAGCCACAGCCACTGCGAGAGGAAGTCGATGCCAGGTCCAGGATGATGCAGAAATCAGTGTCCCGCTGTGTCCGGCTGCACCCTGGCGCGGGGTCCCGTAGAAACCGGGGTGAGCTGGTGACGGGGTCTGTCCTGCAGTCTTGGTTCAGAGAAAACATCCTTTGAGAGCAGACCTCAGAAACGAGACCGACAGAACCACTGCTCTGGGGAAAATACCCTCAGAGTTCGCAGGAATTCTCAACAGATGGTTCACTGGTCGGCTTTGGGGCCGCCGTCCACTTCCACGTAACAGAGGCCGGAAAAAGTCTCCTGAGCTCCGACCACAAACAGCCAGAGACTCTTCGCTTATCGGTTGGAAGATCGTGGCTTATATATTCGGCTCCAGTGCTGTGTCTTCCCACACAGAACACTCGCGATTCAGAAGCTGCCCTGCAAGGCGAAGCTCATGCCCGGATGGATGCTCCGCCACCCCAAGCCGGGTGCGGGAAGAGATGGCGACATCTGAAATGGCCAATTCCCCGACTTTTTAAATGGGAGATGAAGCATCGCCGGCGTCGCCACCTGCCACCGGCTCCGCACACATCCATATAACAGGTGTTGGTCCCTCAGCGACATCCTGGTGACACAAACTGGAACATCCCTGAGCTGCAGGCTCATCCGCCCGGTAACCACCAGGCGGCTTTGTGTGTCTACAGAGTGAAAGCACAGGTCCGAAAGGGTTGGCACCGTGCGCCACAGAACCCCAGAACGACGTGTTTGCCGTCTGTGTGCACTGAGGAACTTACCGTGACCAGGGGTTCCACCTGGTGACGACCTGGGCCTCTGCGATGAAAGCGCCCGTCTTACTGAGATGACGTCGATCGACTCGGGGACACTGATTGTGCACACGTCTTTACGGTCTTTTCAGAGATTAACGATGTCGTTGTCTATTTAAGTGTGTCCAATTGTGCGCTGGAAAGATACGGAATTTGGTTAATTTTTTATAGTGAACCTTAATTTTTAAAAAGTGAGAATTTTATAGTACATAACGTGTCGGCTGTGTGGCCTGCATTTGAATGCCCATGCGTCTGACCTGTCTCTTTATCCTCTGCCCCTAGGTGCTTCTGGCGAGCAGCTTCGTGCCTCTTTACGCAGGGCTGAGGCCAGTGGAGCACCAAGGACAGGTGACGCGCTCAGACTGACACAGCGGCAGTGACCCCCGCGTTCGCGTTTCCTCTGAAGAGTCCGATACGTAATGATTCGGGTGGCTCCAAGTCAGTTTATATAATTTTTTTTTCACAAACATTTTTGTTTCTGATAACAACAAAAAAGTCACGTAGAGGGGACATGGTGCATTGATGTCAAACTCTCACGATTGAGCGGATGGACTGCGATGCTGCTTTTTTACAGAGGCTTAAAAAACTTTATCTTTTTTTTCTTAAGAGTAAAAAACTCCGCCCCCCGCCCCCCGCCAAGAAAGTCCTATTCACAGCCCCTTCTATGAGTAGCAAGAAGCAGAACTGAGCTGTCAGGGTGCTGGACACAAGGTCCCCCAAACAGTGGAGGGCTTCACCCCATCCCATCCCCCTGCCGGGCAGTGCGAGTCCCCACCGTCCCACCACTCACCGCTGACTGGACGTGTTTGTCAGGGAGGGCAGCACAGCCTTCCTTCCGAGAGCTCTCCTCACTTGGGGCTGGCACTCGAGGCGGGGGACAGGCGTTTAGAGAAGCTTAGAGGTGAGCCACCCTCTGCGTTCCCCATTGCACCCTCGCCGGCTGCTGCAGGCCCGCACAGCCTCCGTCATCAAACACAGTGTCTTTCACACCGCGAGGCGGAGGCGTGTCGTAAGCAGGGACCGTCTGTTCAGCACATGCCAGCGGTGTATGTTACATACCCCAGGTCAGGCCCGTGTGCACTGATGAACGAGGGCCACTTGTCCTATGCACCCATGACACGTCCTCTTTCACGGATCCATGCGTGAGCAGCGTTTACGATCCCATCCCCCTGCCGGGCAGTGCGAGTCCCCACCCTCCCACCACTCACCACTGTCTGTCTTTTATCCTGCCTCCGTCGAGGGGCATGCGGCGCTGTGCACAAGCAACAGCCAGTGTCCCAGGCCGTTGACTTCACAGACCCCTCGGCCGACGGGTGGGGAGTGGCCTCTGTTCTGATCTCGTCGCTCCTGGCACCTTGCTCTTTGACCTGTCCTGCTGTTTCCTCTGCTTCCCCTGTGGTTTCCGTCCCTCCCTGGTCTGCCCTGGGGTGCTTGTCTCAAAGGGGCAGATGAGGGCCAGGTGCAGAGAGGTTAGGTGGCTGCAGGGGCCAGGTTGATACGAAGATGCAGAGCTTGAGAGTGACTGCTGTCCAGTAAGGACTCTGGTTCACTAGCCACGTGCAAAAAATAAATATATTATTCACACGAATGGAAAAACTTGCTTTTTAAAACTGTGTTTATAGCCACGTATACATTTATATTAACATATATATCCATTTACACACACACAGACATATATATATCACATATGCACACATGTGGATATGGGCAAGTTTATAATACATGCAATTTAATTATCTAAGATATACTTTGTTCTCTTAAAAATAATGAGTGCTTTTTAACTTAATCTAATTTTATCTAATCTACCTATGATTTCTCCTCCACCAAAATGAAGTTCCCTCTAAAGAAGTTTTCAACACAGTTTCACCATTTACTTTGATCCCCTTCCAGGAGTCTGTGGCCGGCCAAGGCTACTGTAAACAAAGCAATATCGACCATTTAGTCCCCAGCTTTAGAAATAAAAACAAGTAGGAAAGACATTTCAAAAAACACACACACATTAGGAAAAAAGGAATGAACTGTTTTAACCGAGTTCAGGACATTTTTTACTAACCCGTTTCTGCCACTTGACTCTATCTTCGTGCTAAATCGCACAGCTTTGCTTTTCTACGTTGTGTTTTAAACGTTCCGATGAATCAGCGTACAGACCTTGCTGGATTCCTTTATGTGGGGTTATCAACCATCAGCAGACTTTTTTTTTTTTTTTTCCCTCTGTCAACTGAAGGGTCTTTCCAAAGACAGATTTATAACTTGGGGAATCCGAACTTGAGTTTTGTGTGTCCATTTATTGTTAGAGCCGATCGTGCTAACATGTCCGTTCAGGGATGGGTTGAGACTTTTTGCCTTGAAATAGGTAGCATCAGGAATGTCGTGTTTCTTTAGTTGTCCTTTTGTAGGATACGGTTCTGCAGAAGCCTCTGGGAGCTTCACTTAGATGCTCTGTCCGTCCCTCGGCTTTGGGTTTCAGGCTGAGAGCGCAGACATTGTTCTGAGTTATGTTTCTCCGCTGATGTCCACTTCTCAAAAACGCCAGAATGCCCTGTGCTGGTGGATGGTTTGTGCCGTGTCAACGTAAAGTTGGCTTTCCGCTTTGATTCAAGAGAGCTTTCCAGCCTAATTACACGTGGCTTCTGACACATGCCCTGTCGTCAGTAAAACCATAGGTACCTCCTCCTGAAAATAATTGCGTTGAAGGTTTTAAACCGTTGGCGAGGTTTGCTGATTCTGTCAAGTTCTTAATATGCGAGTCAATGATACGTGCGCACAGATCGATGTCGCTTCCGAAACACGTCCCCAGCTGGCCGAGTCCTCATGAGTAGTAATGTAAGCACACCCCAGGCCCAGAGTGCGCCACAAGGAAAGGGTCCTCTTGAGAAATCCGAGCGTTTTCCTCACATAAACGTGCGTCATTGGTGTGAGCTGATGGTGGGGTGTCTCTTCCCGCAGAGGTGGGTGGATGGCGGCCTCACCAACAGCCTTCCCATCCTGCCTGTGGGCCGGACGGTGACCATCTCACCCTTCAGTGGACGATCAGACATCTCCCCGCGGGACAAAGGGCAGCTGAATCTGCATCTCACTGTCGCCAATCAAGACGTGACGGTGAGTGATTATACTCGCCGATACTTGAAGAGTCCTAATCTAAAGCGTTCCACGTGCTTCCAGAGCTTTGGAAGCTCATCGATAATTTTACGTGCAAATTGCCTTTTCTCAGTAGTATGTGTGTTAATACTTTCCAGCATCTGTCACACATGTGGGCCTGAGTAGCAACAGACAAGTGTTCACTTTTACATTCATAACTGTCTACTTAGGAAGCATTTTCTGTTTCTTCGCTTCTTTTGGGGGTTCAATAAGCATGGCAGGATTTCAGTGCGATTTTAAATTAATGCATTTATTTGTTTTAAAAGGGGGCAGTAATTGATATCATGTAAAAATATTGGAGAAAAACGTAGGGACGCAACTGAATGATTTACATTAAATTATCGATTACTTTAATCTAGTTCTCAGCAGGGCGGTGTTATACACAGTAGATGCTTGGCACTGTCTGGAGGGGAGTCTGGCTGTCTCGTCTGGGAGGTGCTGCTGGCATCTAGTGGGCGGAGACTGGGGTGTCGCTCAGCACTCTGCAGTGCCCAGGGCGCCCCAGCACGGGGAATGATCTGGCCCCAAACGTCAGTGACGCCAAGGCCGAGAAACTCGCATCTCGTCTGTGGGTGGGTTCAGCTCTTCCAGTCGAATTCTTTTCCTCTGATTGTTTTTTAATCGCTGTATCGTATCTACGATCAGAAAGCTGAGGTTACAGAAACAGCAGACGATTACCAGCACTGTGATCTCCTGCAGCTTCGCTTTGTCCTTGTGTCCTAGCTGTCCGTGGCAAACTTGGCGAGGCTGAGGCAAGTCCTGTTCCCACCACGCAGGACGGAACTGGAGTCGCTGCACCAGCGCGGCTTCGATGACGCCGTGCGGTTTCTGCTGGAAGAAGATCGGTTTGAACAGGATGCCTAAACGTTAGTCGCGCAAAACACATTTCAGACGGTTCCCGATGCAGACTTTAGACTACGTCTTAACTAAAAACTGTCTGAACTCTGTCGGATTTTCTAGTTTTTGTAATAGTTATCATCATTTTTAATATTTGTACTTGGTGCAAGGAAGTGATAGGTATGTTCTGCAAGGTCAGCCATGTCATTGAAGATACACTCAGGTGACGGAGTCCTTACTAGACCTTCGGCAGGTGACCGAGTGCAGGTCACGACGAGCCAGCAGCCTCGTAAAGACGCAGGAAGCCCGGAGCAGGAAGCACTTAGCGTCCATAGGTCGCATAGCACTGATGGCGGCTCTCCGCTTTCTGAGTGGTTTGCTGCCACTTCGAGGGCTTGTGTGTGGCTTTACACTAAGACACGTATGCAGCCTCGAACCTCAGCTCTGTTTTATGGGGCTTCGCCAAGCATGAACTCTTAATTACTAAGAGGCAGTTAGAAAGAAGCCAGTTTAATAGCGTGCCTTCAATTGTGCGTTTCTCTATTTTACCGTTTAAAACCATTCCTTCACTCACTTTTATGGCTCTTAAAATCCCCAAATTACACCACGTTTAGTGCTGAACACGGAGTCCCTCACGAGCCTTGCAGACGCTCATTGTGGGTTAGCGACGGTCCTTGCTGGGTGCGTCTTTCCTGCAAATGCGCAGTTAAGTCTCGACCCGTTATTCTAGTAAGTGACACGCAGTAGGCGGATTCCCAACTCATTCTTACATCTCTGTATTCACTAGATTTCCCACCTTTTACGATTTTATGTGACCGTGTGTGTGATAGCTCAATAAATCCTTTATCGATGCCTCCCGGAGCAAAACCGAGTCTGAATGCATTCGTGTTTTCCGAGGTATCCGGTGCCCACCGCACGTGTCTCTGACCAAGAGGGGACGGCGCTGTCCTCCGGGGTCGTTGCGAGAGCTTTGACAGGCGTTTCTGCAGCGCAGCCAGTTTCCGATGCGGGGAAAGGGGACCGAGTGCGGAAGCGCGTCGTCTGTGCGCAGGGCGTGCTCCGCGGGGCTGGACCTCGCTCTCCGGGGCGCGGACCTAGTTCTCCGGGACCCAGCGCTCCGGCGAGGCCCGTCACAGGCTGCAGCTGGCGCGGAGATGACGGTCGCATCCCCGCAGACGTGGAATGTGCACTAGCCCCAGGCCGTGCGGTGCTGTGAGCTGCGCTCGGTACCAGGCACCGGGGACTCGGGATGCCAAGATCCAACGACCCTGTCTGACCCAGATGCCGATGCGTGTGCAAGATGACCACAGTGACCAGTAAGGTCCCAGCTCCCTGGTGGGGCGATGTCCTAATATCCTCGAATCTGTCATTTAAAATTTCATTAGTCTGTCTTCTGCGACACCCGTTACTCTGTAACCATGGTAACCCCTGCTTCCAGGAACAATTAGAGAAAATAGATTTGGTTTTAAACTTAAATAAAGGAGCGAGCCGTGTGTTAAAGGCCCTGTTGCATTCTGGGTCCCTGACAGCCACATGGCCTGTGGCCCTCAGGAGCTTGCAAAGGAGCCCTGGTCCCATGGGGTCATTGACCAGTCCTGCTGGACAGAGAGCGCGCACTCCCGGTGGGCAGCTGTCAGCTGTGCCGCTCCTCGTTTCCGATGGTAAGAACAAATGCCAAAGGATCGCTTCCCTTTTTGTATGTATAAATAGTCATCACAGGAAGGTTCTGGGTCCAGTCCGTGACTTTTATAGGGAACGAACAGGGAGGGAAGTTCTGGGTTTGGAGGTTTTTCGTGCCTAAGCTGGGTCTGTGCCATAGCAAGAGGAAATGGAAAGCCGAAGGCATTACCCACATCACTCGCAGCAGGAGGAAAAGCGATTATTGCAGATCAGGACAGCGACAATCATGGTAGCTGTCATGGGCACACGGACAGGTCAGTTGGGCGGAAGCCACCACGTATTGCACTTTATTTTGTCTCCGCTGACAGACAGCACTCGTCGAAGCGTTGCTGACTCAGGGCTGACACGTGTATTTCTCCATTCCTCAGACACGTTTCCTCGGCGTAATTCCCTGCTCCTGACCGACGTAAGGGGGCGAGGATGGAGTTCGCCCCCTGGCACACCGCAGGAAGCACCTCTGAGTCTGCAGCCCCGCGCGCGTCACAGTAACGACGTATCCAGCTCGCTCTTGAAATAAGGTAGTTTCTTAAAAACGTGAACATGGGCGACACTTGCACATACGTAGGCATGCGCGTGCATCTGCACCTAAGTGCGGCAGGCCCTGCCACGCGCACGTGAGCGCTGCCACGACGCGTAGTGTCCTGGAAATGGCACGCGTCCACATTCGTTTTTCCGGGCTGGCCAGGTAAAGTGTGAATCGCTATCCTGCCCGCTCCTGGAACTCTGCCCACTTCCCGCCGGTCCAGGAGCATCAGTGCCATCCTGACGGGGTCATCGGCTTTGCCAAGTGGCTTCAGGGCTCTGGGCACGCTTGTGACGCTGCAGGTGGGTCCCTGGTCATTGGGTGAGCTCTGTAGGCCAAGCGGCGTCTTAGAACCGTGTCCGATCTCTGTGTGGAAGGAGCAGGCCGAGTGAGATGCTGTCCCTGTGAAGATCAGACTGGAATCCTGTGCCGATTCCGTGGGACACGCACGCAGGTCCCTGCCTTATGGCGCGGACGGGAGGTCACTCAGGGCACCCCGCCCGTGACGGGGTCAGGACACTTGAGGGAGCTGCAGGCGCTCCTCCAGCTGCAGGCCAGGACTGCAAGGTCAAGGCGTTGGCGGATCGTGTCTGAGAGGCCCACGTCTCCCTGTGTCCTCCCACGCTGCTGGGCAGCAGCTCCTCGCAGGCCATCGCGCAGGGGCACCGACCCCACTCCTGCAGACTGTCCCCTCACGGTCTGCTCACCCCGCGAGGCTGCTGCCACCTCACCTGGCGAGAGCGACGGTGCACAGCACTCGGGAGCGTGGACGTGGGTCATCCCGCGGGAGAGCAGGCTCTGGTCACTTACCGCAGCTGAGGCTGCCAGCAGAGAGTGAACGGAAGGGAGGAGGAACGAGGAATGAACGAGGAATGAACGAGGAATGAATTAGGAATGAACGAGGAAAGCCGGCATCACCACGGGCAGCCTCGGCCCCCCGAGGGGTCACCGCATCCTGTCCCCGGAGGACGTTCCGTCTGCAACGCCAGCACAGCCAGGGCCGTGCACGTTTTGTGAGGACATGTAAATAAACAATTTTCGACAGTACCCTCTCCTGTTACATGTAACGCTTTTCGATATTCTTAGTCCATTTTATTAAAAAATATGACATTTAAATGATTTTATAAATACTAACGGGTCATGATACACAGTTTGAAAACACTTCTAACACAATTTTAGAACATCACAGGCACTGAACTTCTCGTTTTGCGTGGAAAATGTTTTTATTTAAAAAAAAACTTTCACATAAATATGGCATGAGAGGATAATCACCACTGTAGTTGAAATAATTCTCTTTTTTCAAAGTTAATATTTTTATTAATCTGCCTTTCTATGCACAATGTTTTCAACACATAGTTGTGCTTTCTGTTACATCTTTTTGAAAACATTTTATTAGTATTCAAAATTGATTTAAAAAATTTTTTTTATTTAAATTAGTTTCAAGTATAAAGTACATTGGTTAGACATCTATATAGTTCATAAAATGATCCCCCCAATTACTTCCTCCCTCCCCTGGCCCTCCACTTAGCCCTCATATTAATGCTAACTGCATTCCCTCCACCATGCTCCCCATCCCTGTGACCATCAACTACTAATTTGTACTTCTTTAACCCTTCACCCCATTCTCCCAGCCCCCAACCCCCTTCCCCTCTGGCCATCACCAGATTGTCCTCTGTACTTATGAGTCTGTTTTTGACTTGTTCTTTTTGTTCCTTAGATTCCAGATATACGTGAAATCATATGATACTTATCTTTCTCTGACTTATTTCACTCGGCATAATAACCTCTAGGTCCATCCGTGTTGTTGCATATGATAGGGTTTCGTATTTTTCATGGCTGAGTAATATTCCATTGTCTACATGAACCGTAACTTCTTTATCCAATCGTCTATTGATGGGCACTTAGGTTGCTTCCATATCTTGGCAATTGCAAATACTGTGCCATGAACAGAGAGGTGCATAGATCTTTATGAATTATTGTTTTTGTTTTCTTTGGATAAATGTCCAGGAGTGCAATTACTGGTACAAAAAATATATCCATTTTTAATTTTTTGAGGAAGCTCCAGAATGTTTTCCCTAGTGCTGTACCAATTTACAATCCCACCAACAGTGCACGAAGGTTCCCTTTTCTTCGCATCCTCACCAACAATTGTTGTTCTTTGATTTATTGATGATGGCCAATCTGACAGGTGTCAGCTGATATCTCATTGTGGTTTTAATTTGCATTTTTCTGATGATTACTGATCTAGAGCATCTTTTCATATGTCTGTTGCCCATCTGTATGTCCTCTTTGGAGAAAGAAACATTCAGGTCCTCTGCCCATTTTTTGATTGGGTTGTTTGTTTTCTTGTTGTTAAGTTGTATGAGTTCTTTATATTTTTTGGATATTAGCCCTTTATCAGAGGTATCATTAGCGAATATCTTCTCCCAATCACTCAGTTGTCTTTTTGTTTTGTCGATGGTTTCCTTTTGTGCATAAACTTTTTAGTTTGATGTAGTCCCATTTGTTTATTTTTTCTTTTGTTTCCCTCGCCCAAAGAGAAATATCCAGAAAGAAATTCCTGTTAGTAATATCAGAGAATTGACTGCCTATGTTTTCTTCTAGAAGTTTTATGGTTTTGAGTCTTACATTTAAGTCTTTAATCCATTTTGAGTCTATTCTTATATACAGTGTAAGAAGATGGTCCAGTTTAGTATTTTTTTTTTTTTTTGCATGTATCTATCCAGTTTTTCCAATCTCATTTATTGAAGAGACTGTCTTTACCCCATTGTATATTCTTGCCTCCTTTGTCACATATTCAGAGAGTGTATAGGCCTGGATTTATTTCCAGGCTCTCTGTTCTGTTGAACAATGTATCTGTTTTGATGCCAGTACCATGCTGTTTTGATTATTGTAGCCTTGCACTATACTTTGATATCAGGTAGTGTGATACCTCCTACTTTGTTCTTCTTTCTCAAGACGGCCATGGCTATTCGGGGTCTTTTATGGTTCCATACACACTTTAGGATTATTTGTTCTAGCTGTCTGAAAAATGCCATTGGTATTTTGCTAGGGATTGCATGGAATCTATAGATTACTTTTGGCAAGATGGCTATTTTAAGGATGTTGATTCTTCCTACCCATGAGCACGGGACATGCTTCCATTTATTTGTATCTTCTTCAGTTTCTTTTCTCAATGCCTTAAACTTTTCTGAGAATAGGTATTTTCCCTCCTCGGTTCATTCGAGTGCCAGGTATTTTATTGTTTTCGATGCGATTGTAAATGAGATTGTTTTCTTAATTCCTCTGTCTGAAAGTTCATCATTGGTGTATGAAAATGCTACCAAATTCTGAATATTAATTTTGTATCCTGCTCCTTTACTGAATTCATTGATCGGTTCTAACAGTTTTTTTTGGTGGAATCTTTTAGGGTTCTTTATACATAGTATCGTGTCATCTGCAAATCACGAGTTTCACTTCTTCCTTTCCAATTCATATACGTTTTATTTCTCTTTCTTGTCACATTGTCATGGCAAAGACTTCCAGTACAGTGTTGAAGAGGCATGGGGAGAGTGGGCAACCTTGTCTTGTTCTCGACCTTGAGAAAAATGCTTTTAGCCTTTCCACATTGAGTATGATGGTAGCTGTAGGTTTGTCATATATGGCCTCTGTTATGTTGAGGTAT